AACGCAGCAACTGCGGTTGACTGGTCAGTTGATGCAAGTCGGACTGTCGAGGAAGCTTGTATAGGATTTAGGAATACACTAGATTGTGTCACTTCACCTTTTATGCCTTGGTACACTCCTCGAAAGCTATCGCATAAGCCACCTTGGATCACTAGTGATTTAAGGAGGCTGTTAAGACGGCAAAAGAACTTATGGGACCAATTTATTATGACACGAAGGGATAATTTTCAGAAAGACTACCGCAAAATTCGAAATCTCTGCAAGTATGCGATTAACAAGAGTCGTATGGAGTACGAGAGATGGCTAGTACTCGATTGCGTTCATTACCCAAAAAGGCTATACTCGTATATTAAACGTAGGACTGAAACTAGCAGTGGTATACCGTCACTCATAACCATTAGTGGAGAAGCGGCTGAGTCAGACGAAGGGAAGGCTGATAACCTCTCTGAATACTTCTTCTCGTCTGATAGTACCACCCAGGGATATGGCGAGGTCACTGCCGTCGCCACTCAGATGCCCTCAATTGTGGTAGAGCACACAAAGGTTCTCAAACTACTGTCTAAACTGAAGCCAGGTGAATCACCTGGGTCGGATGGACTTCACCCTAAACTGCTAATTTCCTTGGCGGATATATTCCGCTTACGGAGATTTTCCAAATGTCTTTGACGCAGGGACTGGAAGGATGCCATTATAGGCCCTATCTTCAAAGAGGGGGATAGGCAATTGGTATCTAACTACAGGCCGGTAAGTCTGACATGCATTATTGCAAAGGTATTGGAAACTATTATAAGGGATCAACTATTAGCTTATGTTGAAACACATGGCTTGTTGGCTGTGAAACAGCATGGATTCCGACCAGGACGATCCTGCTTGACAAACCTATTATTGGCTAGGGAAGACTGGGTGGAGGCCAGAGATAAAAACCATCTGTTGGACGTGGTTTTTATTGATCTTAGCAAGGCGTTCGACAAAGTATTCCACTTAGGTCTCCTTAGTAAACCTAAAGGTTTCGGACTAGACCAATGCCTATGTGAGTGGTTTAGAGATTACTTAATGGATAGAAGGCAGAAGGTTAGAGTTAACGGTGTACTACCAGGATGGAAAGCAGTATCCAGTGGAGTGCCCCAGGGAACTATTTTAGACCCCTTGCTATTCCTATTATACGTTAACGAATTACCAAGGATTCTCACTTCATCTTCATTATTATTTGCAGATGACACTAAGATATGGAAAACTGTGAATAACAACGAGGATAGGTCGGCCCTACAAATTGATTTAGATAAATTAGCTGAGTGGTCAAGCCTATGGAGTTTGGAAATGAATGCTAGGAAAAGCGCGGTAATGCACTTAGGTCAGAAGTCTTATATGTCGTACTCCCTAGGGGACACAGAACTACCTGATGTTAACGAACAGAAGGACCTAGGAATCATTGTCAGCAGTGATTTGAAAACAACTGCAAATTGCAATGCAGCTAAAGCTTTTCGAATGCTATGGGCAATTCGAAGGGCTTTCAAACGATTAGACGAGGGCATGTTCCAAATACTCTACGCAACATACGTCAGGCCTCATCTAGAATACTGCATACAAGCGGGGAGTCCATGCTTCAAAAAGGAGGCACATATTCTGGAAAGAGTACAGAGAGTAGGAACAAAATTAGTTAGTGGTATCTCACACCTTCCTTATGATAAGAGGATGGAGCATTTAAATCTCTTCCCGTTATCATACCGAAGGAAGAGAGGCGACTTAATTTTAGCATACCGTATACTTAAGGGTGATTTAGGAACTGACCTTTCTAACCTTTTCTCCCCTTCTAGGATACATTTACGGGGTCACCGCAAAAAGTTGCTCAAACCAAGGACGATTAAAATACGTGCAGAATTTCGATTCTCTCAAAGAGTGGTCAACGATTGGAACTCCTTACCTGATTCAGTGGTATCACCTCCATCGGTGAACGCTTTCAAAGTGAAGTTAGATCTCTGCAGAGGTATATTATGCAAGGATTAACACAGGCCACAAGAGCCTTCTATCCTTATCATCTGAATCTGGATAAACTTTTGTTTTACCATCCTGGAATTTCTACATATTAAGTAACTATTTGAACCAGCACCAATAACGGAAGCCAACAAATGTGCTGCGAACATGAACTTCTGCCTCTCAAACATGCCCATGTACATATTTTCCAAAATTGTCCATGACATTATTCCATCAATACCAGAAAAATAGCTAAGATAACATTAATAAATAATTTACATCAGGATAAGTCGCAAATAACTGCAGGATAAACGTGAGGGCCAGTGTGTGAATTAACGGTTAGCAAACAGCGACCCAAAACGACGGACTGACATGGACTAAAATGACACTCAAGTGCCTTATTCATCCAATGAACTTGAGCGCGCGGCATAGATTCAATATGAGCAGTACGTTGTTTATCGGAAAATGACCTTGCAAACTTTCAAATTCGGCCTTGACCCGCAACATGCTTGATCCACGGAGTGGTAACGTTATACGAGTAGGGTCAAGGCGCAGTACGTTGGCACTTCTGCAGACACAGATGGCAATTGATCTTCTCGTCAAAAAAAACCTTGGTCTAAAATTCAAAGTGGTGGAAATGACGACAGTTGGAGATAGAATACTAAGTGTAGAGCTGTCGAAAATTGGAGACAAAAGTTTGTTCACCAAGGAACTTGAAAAAGCCCTACTTGATAAAGAAGTTGATTTTGTCGTACATTCTCTGAAGGATGTCCCTACAGCTCTACCTGATGGTTTAGTTCTGGGTTGCATTTTCACTAGATCTTCGCCCGAAGATGTTGTACTGATGGCACCACATAATCGCGGCCTGAAACTACGTGATCTTCCTGTAGGTTCCATTGTTGGAACTAGCGCTGTCCGACGAGTTGCTACTCTGTCACGCCAATATCCTCACTTAAAATTTGTTTCCGTACGCGGTAATTTAAACACAAGACTCGCAAAGCTTGACGGTCTTTGGACTCCTCAAAGTGACGAACCTTGTGTAAGCATCCAAACTGTAAAGTATGATGCGATTATTCTGGCAAAAGCAGGAGTAGATAGGATGGGATGGTCAGAACGTATTGATGAGGTTCGTGAATTTATTAATTTTCGTATCACTGATAGTAAAATTTCTCACCTTCAAGGTTTTGTAAAGTAAATTTACAGAACCACATTAGTTTTATAAACTTCAGTGCATTAAAAGTAAAAGTCACGATATCGTCAATGTAAGGTTTTATGGTTATTGCATGTATATTCGATTTGTGGAGAGCGTGTTTCATTGTAATGTCACGAAAAAATGCTATAATATTTTATTTATATAAACTTGCTCCTGTCTTTCAAGTAAAACTTTAGGATAACATCGTGAGGGCGGTATGTACGTAATTGTTGCGCCTGCTGACACTAGTGGTGCTAGTTTTTTGTCTTGTGTGCAAAATAGACCTATGGTGTTCCTATCTGCCTACTATCCAGTTGCGTAATGAATGTTTGACTTAATTAGTAGTAAGAGTATTAGTGATTTTCACACATTGGTCGTTCTCTAACATGTACTCCGCTCAGTTATATGAGACATCTGTGCATCGTATAATCCTGGCACAATTATTGGACCCTTATTAAGTACAGCATTGGTGAATGACTAGCTCATCCGATTATTCGATGTTCAGCTAATGGGTGTCGCTTTTCAGTCCCTTTTTATCTACTTCATTTTGGGCAACTGCGTGGTATCGCCAGCCCTCACAATCAGTGTAGCTTATAGCCTGAAACATTGAAATCCCCCTTCCAGGATCTAAATGCTAATAGGTAGCCGAATATCTCAAATTGCCTAAGGCACGTGATTGATGTGAGTGTGAAAGTTAATTAGACACCACATCAGGAGTTATTTAGTGAAATGTAGATCCGAATTACTCAATATACTCAGCTCCATAATTGAAATTGTGCCCATAACACTTCTAGTTTGATATTTCCACAAAGATGTGAGTAATGCAATATTTTTCCTCTCGTAGTGTTATCTAAAGTTAACGTTGATGCAGCAGTAAACCAGTGACATTTGCACTATTAGTATTATTATCATCTCGGTTCAGATTATTAGTTAGTGTGCAGATGTTTAATTTATCTATCAAGTTGTCTTTTGAAAGCATTTTTATTTACTTCATGTTATAAAATCACCTTATTTCTTCAAGAGCTAACCGTCAATATTGAGGAGATGAGATTAACTTTTTTTGTGATAAGTGCTAATTAGAGGAGAAATTAGAATTTAGTTTGTTGTGCGATTCGCATCTACAGTCTGTTGAGTACTTTTTGATCCACTGAGAAGCAATTTATTGCTTATAAATAATTTCTAGTGGTTAAGTTACACAATACAGAACTCATCTCCTTACAAATGCGCACTAAACTTTAATATAGCACAATTTTTTCTGCTTTTTAAGCAATTGTGTCATATTTGTCAGTAGAATATTCAAATACTGGTTCTGTAAGCACTGGATACTTAATGCAGTATCCATCTCTATGTCAGTCGATAATTTTAGCAGAATTTCTATATACATGATCATTCGCTTGTATCTAGATGACTAGGTTACCAGTATTCTGGTAAGACAATATGTTCCAACAGGTGGATGTGATTTTGATTGATTTTGATGCTTCAATACTAGAAATTGCGATGATTCACTGGAGTAAATAGAAAGTGTAATTCTGTTGGGCAAAATGTTGGGAAATCAGTCTCCAAAATACATTGAACTCGAGTCTGAATGTTTTCATTGTATATTTCTTTCCTGTCAGATGTAATAGGGTTGATTTTACAGAAATGACCTGCCTCAATTGATAGATTAAACATACATAAGCGGTCAGATGTGTTGGTCTATACGCTTATTTGGCAAGTTGCATCAGTTCCAATGAATTGGTTGACTAACGAGTGATGTAGCGTGAAGTAGAATTAAAGTGGGAAAAAGTTATAAGTGGTCATACAAAGACGCCATGCCAATTCATAAAGTTACTAACTGTCGATTCAAGTTAATTTAGCACTTACATGATGCTGTAATTCAGTGAAGAGATAATTCGATGTATTTTACAACGGTGCAAGTTCATTCTTTGCTTTATTGTATCTTAGATTCCAAGTCTTTATTTGATTACTTTGTCTCTTTCACATCTCTCATTGTTGTCCCACTACTTTTGTTGCTTGGACCTTGTATGCTTTTCCGAAGTGTGTCAACTTGCACTGATGCACTTTTGTACAAAGTTTTAAGCTGTTAAGTCACTCAACTACTTACGGAACTCGCATATATATATATGTTTTGTGCTGGAATGAGTTGAAAAACTTATTACCAATCACCATAACGTGGCTAGTTTTTATTAGTTTTTGGTTGTTTCTGTTGTCAACAGGTTCTGTCGACTTCCTTTCATGCTGTAAGCCAAGGTGCTTTGGCTTGTGAATGCCGCCGACACGATAGCTTTATTTTGGATTTACTATCACGCATTCATAATGAGTCAGCTGCTTTGACTTCAATTTCAGAGAGGAGTTTAATGCGTCAACTTGATGGTGGTTGTTCCATTCCCATCAGTGTTCGCAGTTATTTCACCTCAAAGGGAAACCGTGAACACTTCAAACTCACTCTCCATGCAAATATTTTAAGCATTGATGGTATAAAAAGTGTGGAAGAGTCCGCATCTGTTATTTTTCCAGAAACCATGTCCGTAGATTCAAACTGTGAAACAGATGTAAATCCGAATAATCATAAGCACAACAGTGAAGGAAATATGTCAGTAAGGGAGAACAGTATGAAGCTAATATCATCTCCAAGCGAAGTGAGTTACCGATCCACCTGTTATTTATGATGAAAGCAGTTGCACTTATTAAATTTATTGCATAAGGTTTTTGAAAGTATGATGATTGGTTTTGAGTAGGCATAATATATAGTCATGTTAACCAAAAATTTTGAATACATTTTAAATTGTTGGGTCCTTTTTGGTTATTCTGTTGGTAAGATTATCCAGTATCCGAGTACCCGGTTACTATTCTTTCAATCTTTTTAAACATAGTCATTTAGGTTAACTGGGTACTTGTGCATCCAATAACAATCCATTCTTGCTCGAACGTGGCTGACTAGTTTTACCAACCAACTACGCTGAATAAATAATGTTATTTCAACTGGTTAGGCACCAAAGTACTGCGTGTAGTTGAGGTTATCAGTCTACACGGCATTATAAGGAATGTCCTCCATACCTTTGCTTATACTGCTACGCAACTCCATTCACTTTCAACTTTCATCTTCAACATCTTCACAAACAGAACCTCCTAACTGATCAACTAGGCAGCTGACAGGCATGACAAAGCATGAAGATGTTGAAGATGAACTTGAGAATATCGCTACAGTTGGTGATCGTGATGCAATAATTTGTTCAAATAAAAATGACGATGATACGTCAGGTCTCAATAATATTCTTCTTGGAGCACTGATCGACTTGGAAGTACTTATTCCGGGTTATATTCTCATTTTGCATCATATACACTTATGTTTAAGCATTTATTGTCTCCATTATCAATTGGGTATTGTTTTTATATTGTAATGTAGCAGTATATATCTCTGAATTGTATTGGGAACGACTGTCACATGTATTACGGTGTTATTTGATTTTGCTTGATATGCCGTATTAGCCTTAACACTTGACTTTCTACCAATGTGTATTGGACTCGAGTCCCACTCAATATGATGTTCGTCTTGAAATCCTGGCGAACATCACTCATTTCTCTATTATGTAAAAGATTTTATTTTGATCAGTCACACAGTGTTGTTGTTGAATAACTATCCTATAAAATTCGTTAGGAAGATCAGTAAAGGCCAAAAACAAAATAAAAATAATTGTGGAAGTAGTAATGATAACATAAATAAGAAAGAATATAAGTCATCCACTGTTATACCATATAAGGAGGGGACATCTGAGACACTACGTAGGATTCTTAATAAAGCAGGAATTAGGGTGGCATTCAAACCTACAAACTCACTCAGGGACAAGCTCTGTAGGTTAAAGGACCCTGTCGGTTGACCCAATTAGACCAAATAATATAATTTACAAAATACCCTGCAATGACTGTGAGCTAAGTCAACTACATAGGTCAAACTAGTAGGTCGGGGATAGTCAGATTATCAAAACATAAGAATTTAGCTAAGGTAAGAATGGTTGACCCTGAAAAGATAAGTAATTTAGAAAAAAGCTCAGGACTACATTGCACTTCACGCATTAACAAACAGCCACACAATACGGTGGGATAGGGTTAAAATTCTAAAAAGTAATATAGGTAGGTGGAGAGATAGGTTGACTACTGAATCCTGGCTGGTTCATTGAGTCTACACCCAACACAACACATGCAACAGAAATGCCTCAATGCAAATACCAGAAATATGGAAGATATTATTGCCACCACCAGTCAGTCAAATCAGAGGAGGAAAATAAATAATCTTAAAATTCTATTTCAATTCAAACACATCACAACATTCTAACAAGTAACTTATTATGACTATAAAAACACTCGTCTTATTTCCCATCTGATTGTAATTGATCAATAACACTCGTATTATTGTTTCTGAATGTGCATTATCTCATATTGGTTTTTATTCCAATATCTAACCGATTCCACACATGTATATAAATGAAGGAAATAAGTTGTGTGATTAACTTGATATGATCATGAGCAATAGGTTGTGCTCGAAACGTTATCAGTTAATATTACTGTACAACACTGTGTGATTTACCAAAATAAAATCCTACACATAATGTAGTTAAGCTACTGTAAGTTTGGTAGCCTAATATTAAAATTGCTTTTTATCAATTAAGAGTTTTTGGATTTGTATATGAATGAGAAATTCCTCCCCTTGTTTATATGCCTGTCACGTTAAGGTCTACTTTATTTCTTCAAAACACATTCATCCGGAAGTTTCGATCGAAAAGGTGTACTCTGTTTAATTCAACTATCGTTAATACACTTGTAGGTGAGTGTTCTCGAATGACCTCATATCGGTCGGTCCTCAATTTCCCATTTCGACATAATTTTTATAGATTATTTTACCTTGCTAGGTGTCTGCTCAAATAAATGTCAGTTTTCTAGTAACTTTTCTAGCATCGAATTGATAATATTTGGCATCTGACTCTTTCTTTGAAAACTTAAATTATCACTTTAATCCCCACCAATGTCTTATCTGTTTAAAGGAAATTAATGAGTTGAGTATATAAACCACTCTAATTAACCTCAAAAGCATATCCGTGCTGGTGGTTTAGTAGTTGACAAAACGTCAGCATGTCTATGAAACTCTTGTCAGGTTTTCGCTGAATCCAGTCACTTATTTTGAGGGGAGATGTGAACTATCCTTGAGACCATACGTGCTGAGTATCAGTGTACCCTCTTTGTTTGTGAAAGGTGGGCATTAGGCGTTAAGCCACTGAATCACACTTATCTCTACTAATTGCCTACAGTGGGGACGACACGTAAACGATCTAGACATAAGGTGTAGCATTTTGCATTATCCGAAAAGACTAAATCTTCTTTGGTTTAGTTCACTAGGAGATGTGTTACGCACACCTACACATCATCTAGATCGATGCACCTTGTAGGTAGGTTGGTAAAAAGGCAACCGATAGCTAAATCAACACAGTACAAGTTTTTAAAATTGCTGAGTTATGACCGGCAGTGTCTAGAGAAAGGCTTATCAGCTCATTGGAGTCCTTGAGACAACCGAAACTAGGAGTGTTCGCCTAATATTTTTTATAATAGTTTATTTTGTAATATAACTTTCTTTGGTTAACTTCTTATTCCCTCTTTCTGCACATAGTTTGGTGACTGATGATTTTTTCTGTTATCCTGTTGTTTTCCCCCATTACTTTCTTCCTGATATGTGGATAGGAGCTGGGACATTATGACTGGTTAGTAAAATGTCTTCGTACAGAGATTACAGATGAGGCATGATTTTGCTTACCAAATTTAAGAATATGCAAATTAAATCCCTCTACTTGTTTGAAGAACCTATCCTTGACTTTATGTCAGGATTGCATGGTCTTAGTCACTCGAAGAAATTGATTCATCGCAAACGAAGGTAAGAACGGAGATACGAAAAACTAGACTTTGTGTGTGTAAGGATGCCAATAACGAATGAAAACCTAAAAAGTTATTGAATCTGGTTAGTTTAAAGCTTCTTAGGTCATCAAATGTAGAAGAAAACAGCGTGTTGTCAGCAACACGATCTGTGTAGCAGATGGCACATCGGTAATGCACTCTCGAGCACCGTATAAACTCTAGAAGAACATGTCATTCTCTATCGATTTTGAGTTTAGTGTATAATACTCCACGAATGGTTGATATTTCAGTGAATGAATCTGTTTCCGAGGAATTTTCAAGTTTATAACTCAGTAGTGAGATAAACTATAGTCACTAAAAGTGACTGGATTGCGGTTTGCAGACTGTCATATTTAATTGTAGGCGTTTTTTCATCAACCCCAGTGTTTACAGGTGAAGGATGTTTAAGTTGTGTGAATATTGTAATAGTGTTGTTTGATTGTTGGTCGGTAAGAGTTTATCGTCCTATCTTTGGTTATTGGAATATGATGTGTCTTTGAAATCATTCGAAAATTGACGCATCAACACCTGACATATTCTAAATCGACTTTTTTTTGGGGGGGTGGTCGGGGTTTGGAAAATTGATCTACTGCATTTAAAGATGATACTCATATAAACTATGCTGGTTAATCAAGAAGCTATTTGAGTGTGATGTAAGAGAACTTAGTGCAATGGACATATGGATGTGAAGCCTTGCATTTCATTCAGAATTCAAGGAGTGAACAATCATCATCATCAAAGTAATCGTAGTGTATGTCACTAGCTGCATAATTATAATGGCATACAAAATTCATTGTTACGACTACTCTTCACTTTTGTTCTTTATTGCATTACAATGAATATTCGATTAATTCTCATCAACTTTAATCATCTTTAGGAACTCACATCTGAGGAAGAACTCGGTCGCTTTGTTAACCGCACGTTGACAATATACATATCTGTAGTTAAATCGTTAAACACACCCAAATGCACATACAATTTGTATACTGTGTTTCAGAATATGCGTGCAACATTTATGTAATCATTAACTTGAGTAATGCTATGAGTCTTAAATTTTCTCTTACCATTGCCAGGATGATATGAAATAAACTCACAGTTTTAAGAAAAGCATTGGATTTTATAGAGAGGTTTCGTGTGCATTTCGGATTGTGAGGGCGATTGTTACTTCCCGGCTGCCCACACCGTGGAAGTTGGTTGCGTGACCGCAGAGCCCAGGGGACAACTGCTTGAGGCCGGTCACACGCGGCCTGTTTTTGTTCGTTCTTTTTTGTTCGGTGTGTCTCAGTAGCAGATTTATCACTCCCGCCCTGTGACACGGCAGCAGGAAGCGCGGTCGTTGTTAATCCGGGCCACGGCCGATCCGGCATGAAATTTTGTAATTTTGTATTGGACATGATGTTGGATTGGGTAGCTGCTTTTTGTTTAACCGCTATCCAAACAACCTGCCTGGCATGGTAGAACCTCAAGAGACATAAGTCTCAGCCAGTATAGCTTGAATAGATCATTGCGGTGTTCAAGCCCGACCACCACATCAAGGTAGCAGCTTTCGGTCGGGTTGGATTTTATAGTGGGTGACAAAGTCGAAATTATCATGATGCTAAATTTTGCTTGTTTGAGTTCTTTGCCTACGCAATCATTGACAACAGTTTGTCAAGGGTGAAGTATGAACGTCATTGTACAACATACACATGTCCTTTCCGTTATATGCTTTTCCTCCCATTTTCGTATTGTTTGCTTTTCACAAAAACAGTTGAGGATAGCCGCTTGATTGTTCTGTTTCTCAATTACTAATTAGTTTACTAAAAAGGATGTATAGGGAACTGTGTAAACATAGTTGTGAATTTTAGTGAGTAAGTAATAAGGCTTAAAACGTTAGTTGCATTAGCTTGCGACTGTTGAATATCCTGTATTTACTGTCAGCCTTGTCACTATGCAGTACCAGATCGGTGTTGAACGAAAGAAAATTAACGGTTAACGCTTAATAAGTTTTTTTTAAAAAACAAATTCGGTATGCACATCGATTTATAATAAGTTCTGCTGTTGTCGCAGATAGTTTTCAGATTTAAAGAGCATTATCTAGCTTGTTATGATGAGTTGTGTTTGGTTATTATTCCTGTAATCCTTTTCCGTCTATGTATATAGCATGAATTAAAAGAAGCTTCAGACCCATCATCTGTGTATATGGGTGTATTGGTTACTCCGATTTCGGATATTGCACGTCTTAAGATGGCTATTGCTCAAAGTTTGGGTTGTGCAGTAGGAAACAGTCTTCTTACAGCCGGTGGTGATAAAATTCTCCATGAAATACGTTCTAAATGCAGTGGCCCGCATAAATCCACATGAATAAATAAAAACAAAGCTCTACAGTCCTGTCCATTTTTTGTTCCTTTCTATTCTATAGTGTTTTAATTTGCATTTAGCTTTGTTGTTTACTTAGTCTTTCTTAATTTTCTTTGTAGTGATTCTTATATTTTTCAAATCCTCAGCATGATAAACTATGGGGATATGCTTTATTATTATTATTCTGTAAATGGTTTAGTGAGAATGCCTCTTCTGTAATTTAGATTTTAGTCTACTGTAAAATTTATGCCTATGTATATAAAAATTATTTGTGATGATATAAATGTAAATGTATCAATGACCTTTTGAATATTTTCAATTTGAATGCTTGATATATGCTGCGACTACTTGACATTTCACCTTTATTTTGACATATTGTGCCAAGTAAGTGTGTGTGTGCAATGTGTCCACTGTTTCTGCTTTCTTTAACATTATTTCGCCGACGTAATTATTCCTTATCAGTCTTTAGATATTCTAACTAATAAATTCACCCGTTTCACTCATACGGTAATATCAATCACCGTAATGTTAGAATGATAAAGTGTCTTTTCCAATTGCCCAGCTTAAAATAAGATTTCGTAAAATCTAGATCAAGTTTAGTGGCAGTGCATTTTTTCAAAATGCGAAAACGATTTTATTGGTCCTATATCCATTTCAATATAGCGAAAATATTCATTCAGACATCTATCTATAGAACACAAAATAATTGAGCCAGCAAAAAATATCCTTTTTGATAATTTTCTCTACTGGCTCTACAATTGTATATGCATGTTTATATCCATAGAATATTGTAGAATGGTAGTCAATAACAATATTAGTGTTTGATGATATTACATGGTTGGAGGCAATCCGCCATAGGAAGGAAGCCTTGAACCTAGGTCTCGTACTAGTTGGCACTCATCAGCAAGGCATGTCTGCAACCTTGAAGGAACTCAAGGTTGAGATTCGAACCCGCATCACCATGTGCCGACTGCAGTCAGAGCTCGCGATTGACCTCCTGTAGGACTGTAGTGGATATTTTGATTGGACACTAGTAACTAGTATGATGTGTCCAGTCCTTTCTTCACTGCAGACTGAATTCTATTATTAGTGCTTTTAAATAATATCGATTTGTAAAGTAAGATCAATGGAATTACAGTTCATTAGGGATGCTTCAATTACAATAATAGTAATAATAATAACAAAGATATGATGATCTGATACCAAATAGAATATCAACTAAAATTAGGGAAAATTCCACAAAAATTCAGGATCATTCAAACCGTGATGACCAAGGTTAGGATAATGTCTGAACTAACTTCTTTTGGACTGCTCCTGTGGAGCCAGTTACATAGGCCGTACAATTAGGCGTGTTTGTCGTCGGATTTCCGAACATCATCCTGCGTGGTTAAGTAAAGGAGAAACAAAATCTATTCGTAGTGCTATTCTACTTCATCTTGTGGATACGGAACACAAGATTGATGTTAACCAGGCTTTCAGAGTCATTTGCCGCATACCAACAAACCTTAATTTCGCCTTAAGAGTTCGATTACTAAATAATGCTGAGGCTGTTAGGATCCCTATTAAGAAGCCTAGTTTATGCGTCCGAAAGAAGTTAGTTCAGACATTAGTTATCCTTACCTTGGTCATCAAGGTTTCAATGATCCTTAAATTTTTGTGGAATTTTCCAAATTTTAAACGATATTCTATTTGCTATTATATCTTTATTATTATTGTTTAAGCATCTTTAATGCACTGTAATTCCATTGATCCTACTTTACAAATCGATATTATTAAAAAACTATTGTTATTGACTACTATTCTAGAATATTCTGTGTCTGTCTGTCTGGATACAACATAGAACTTGCCACCGAAGTGTAGCAGTTCCAGTTGCCACGTTCCAAACAGCACACAGAGGTAGACAAGAAGATGAGTGAAGAGAATCAATACAGTCTGACAAGTATAAGAGCGAAACAGAATGGGTAATGGTAGAAAGAAATATGAAAGATTACAGAAACTGAATACATCTGCGCCATTGACAACGATTTTGAGCCATGTCGCCTATGGTCTCCAGCCATTGATTCCTAGAGTCCCGAGGGCCCCAACCCAGAAGTCGGCAACTCCCTACCTAACTCAGCTTAACTGTCAAGGATTTCATGGATTGATGACATGTTTTTGTTTGGCCACCACTTACTCTTTTCCAACCTGCACCTATATCAGCTAGTAATGCCCGTCGGGCGGGGGAGGCGATGGTTAGGCATGCGCAGCACGTGACCTAGCCATCTCAATCTATGTAACTTTATAGCCTCGTCGATTGATTTTCCCTCTTTACCCAACACTCTACGCCTAACGTCAACATTGCTTACCTTATTAAACCCCCTGACATGAGAAAGAGATCGCAGACATCTATGATCTATGTATATAAACATATATATAATTGTCGGGCCAGCAGAAGAAATTATCGAAAAGCATATTCTTTACTGGCTCAATTATTTTCTGTTCTGTATTTATTTATCAGTGGAATATTTCTCACAAAAAATCCATCGGAAATGATTACATTATTTGCATAAAACTATAAACTATTGATTGGTTGAATGATTGAGATGAGTGGCTGTATACCACTTGAACCTGTGTGCAATGGAAGTTGTGAATTCGATTTATGATTGATTATACACTTATGTTGACGGCTGATGGTGTCAAGTGTCAGTGTCTGTTCTATTCTGGCTAGTTAGTGTAATAGTGCACTGAATATGACTGATTTTCAGCATCAGTCTAAAGCTGAACTTTTTCAATTCCATCAATTAATTTTTTATGTAACATTGATCCACCTCTTTTGTTTATTGATCAATGTCTTAAGAAGAGAATTCAGAATTATAATGAAGGCTTTAGTAAGTAAGAGACAACAAATAAAATGGCCTGTACGGTTGGAATCCAATATGGTAGGGGATTACTTGTTGCGAGAATATTTTTTCGTATCATTCTACTTTTTTGTAAAAATTCATTTATATTGGGTGGTGGTTGGTAATCGACAAGAGACTAGAAATATACGTTTCGTAATAATTGGCTCTCGTCTGCATAGCATGTTTGTAATCTGGGATAAACATACATTTGATAAATGGCACTGAGGCCTCAGTACTGTAGTCAGAAATGTTATCGCTGAGATATTTAGGTTCACTGGAAGTAGTCGTTGCAGTGCACTCTGACTACAGCAGTGGGCAATGCTTATTCCAATCTCAGGGTAGATGATGCTGTTTACATGACTGCCGATAAATCTTCTTGACTAGAGTCAATGAAAATGAATTCTAGCTCTGAAACTTTCTTTCAATTGTCACCAACTGTTCAGTATCAATTCAGAGTGCATCTCAATAATTAGCTCCCAGGATAGACGCCTTGAACGCTGAAAAGAACACTTTGAGGAACAGTTTAACTTGCCTACAGCCACACCGAACCTCCCCGCCATCCAGAACACACCCGAATGGGATATAGACACTGGTCCGCCGTCTGTAAGTGAGGTCACAAAAGCTATCTGTTACCTGAAACGAGGCAAAGCGGCAGGACCCGACGGAATTATTCCAGAGGTGTTTAAATATGGGGGCGACATACTAGTATGTAGATTAACTGAGGTACTAGGCAAAGTCTGGGAATCAGAGACGGTTCCACCAGACTGGAGTAAGTCACTTATTATACCGATATTATTCCTACCTTCACTCTCCGACAGATCCTAGAACATAGACACACTTTTCGGCGTCCAACAATTGCCTTATTTCTTGACTTGAAGGCGGCCTTCGATTCCGTGGATCGAAAGATACTATGGCAATGTTTGACTGTGAAGGGAGTGCCAAGAAAGTACATTGCACTAATCAAGGCACTCCATTCAAACTCACGTAGCCGTGTAAGGGCTTATGGGCAATTGTCATCTGAATTGATAACAACCAGTGGTGTCTGACAGGGATGTCCACCTTCCTCATTTCTGTTTAACTTCATCATAGATATGCTAATAGAAGTATCCTTAACTGAACGTAACGACTTGGGAATCGACTTGTTACCAGGGAATAGTCTTATGGACTTAGAATATGCGGATGACATAGTCCTGCTAGGGGAGGATGCTGATAAAATGCAGTCTTCTGAACACCGTGAGCAGCAATCTTCGTATGTTTGGTATGAGATTTGCCCCTGCAAAATGTAAGATGCTGCTACAGGACTGGACCACGTCAACTCCAAGCTTAGTGATAGGGAGTGAACTGATAGAACATGTTGACCACTTTACCTATTTGGGAAGTTGTATCAGCACCAACGGACTGATTGGCGATGAAATCTCAGCACGGATCCGAAAAGCTCGAGCTGCTTTCGTCAACTTACACCATCTTTGGCGTAGGCGTGACATCCGGCTATCAACCAAGGGACGTGTGTACTGCTCAGCAGTTCGCTCCGTCCTTCTCTATAGCTCTGAAACATGGCCAATACGAGTTGAAGACATGAAAAGGTTGACTGTTTTTGATTATAGATGTCTACGATCTCTTTCTCATGTCAGGGGGTTTAATAAGGTAAGCAATGTTGACGTTAGGCGTAGAGTGTTGGGTAAAGAGGGAAAATCAATCGACGAGGCTATAAAGTTACATAGATTGAGATGGCTAGGTCACGTGCTGCGCATGCCTAACCATCGCCTCCCCCGCCGACGGGCATTACTAGCTGATATAGGTGCAGGTTGGAAAAGAGTAAGTGGTGGCCAAACAAAACATGTCATCAATCCATGAAATCCTTGACAGTTAAGCTGAGTTAGGTAGGGAGTTGCCGACTTCTGGGTTGGGGCCCTCGGGACTCTAGGAATCAATGGCTGGAGACCATAGGCGACATGGCTCAAAATCGTTGTCAATGGCGCAGATGTATTCAGTTTCTGTAATCTTTCATATTTCTTTCTACCATTACCCATTCTGTTTCGCTCTTATACTTGTCAGACTGTATTGATTCTCTTCACTCATCTTCTTGTCTACCTCTGTGTGCTGTTTGGAACGTGGCAACTGGAACTGCTACACTTCGGTGGCAAGTTCTATGTTGTATCCAGACAGACAGACACAGAATATTCTAGAATAGTAGTCAATAACAATAGTTTTTTAATAATATCGATTTGGTTGTGTCATCTGTCGAAAGTTGCAGGTATGACCAGTGTGTCTTCCTCCAGCCATAAAACTTGCCGGATAACCTTGTCTTTGATATTTCTAAGGTGCATTTAGTTTTCCAATGTCCATGAGCATAGTATCCCAAAACAATATATTTGTCACTGCAAGACTTACTTCCTGTTATGTTAACTGGAATTATCAACATGTTGAAACTGTCTTACGATACCATATCTAAATACTACATTGCGATTATTACTTCATTTTACGTAATCAATGATTTCTGATTATCATCGCATTCCACAGAGTTTTATGGAAGCTAACTTCAGGTTGTAGGTAATTTGCGGAGCGGCACCGGGATTTGAAATAAAACTTTCCTCAACTCAAAACGTTTAGTAATAAGTGATGACTTACCGAAGCGTTATTGTCACATAGCCTGCTTAAAGTGCCACCAGGAACTTGTCTTTACCAGAGTTATCATCTCTTCCCCTGTTGTCGTTTCTGTCTGATTTCTCTAATAAAACTAAGTGCTTGCTTTGATTTGCTCACTTGTGATAAGGATGAAAAAAGAGTACGAATGCATATTAGCCACTGCTGTCAATGCTTAACTGCATAATAATGTAGTGTCCATAACCGTGGGTAACTGTGTTAAAATGCACGTCAGCCAAGCAACTTAATTGAATCAGATCAGTGATGAGTGACTTTACGAACTAATGCAATGTGTTTGTCTGGTTATCATTAGCCTTCTACTAAAGTGGTTCTACTTCCCCCAGTGTAATGCATCGTGGTAGATAATGGATTATCATGCAGAACATGAGACTTAATGTCTTCAGTCACTGAAGGTTTATCAGTAACTTTTTTGCCTAAGGACTTATGTTCAATTTTCACCTTACTGACATAATGTTTTTAGTAACGAGATATGTAGTATTACAGTGCTCAAATACTTGGTACCAATCTTGAATGAAAATGTTTTCAGTCAAATAGTAGACCAGAGGGCATAGCTGATGCCAAATTCTCATACCTCTCTTACACAATTTCATATGTGATTTGAGTAGAAGCGGAATTAACAACTTCTGTCTGTGCTGAGAATGGGTCAAACTTAAACTACCGGAAGTTATCCTAAAACCTGCTGATTTGTTGGCTAAATCCCCTGAAAGATAATCATGTCTGCAGACTGACTCGATATAATGCTGTCTTCTGCATAATCCAAGTTAGCAGCATTACTATTCAGTGATGAAGAAGTTCATGGTATTATTTGTAAAAACTGAGTAAATTTCAACTGGTGTTACAATGCGTTCTGCGAACATCAGTCAGTCCTACACAGCATACTGAGAGTCCGGAAAACAAAAGGATATTTTACTCCCCCTGACTGGCTTCAATGTAGAACTTTGCACAAATGTGTAGCAGTTCGAGTTGCCACACTCCCTCCATGTAGCACACAAAGCAAGAGAAGAGAGTAAAGAGAGATACTAAACAGAAATCTGAAGCAAAAAGAAAAGTAATACGGAAGAGCTATATAATTTTATTGGGTATTATAAATCACAAATAGTGAATGCATCTGCACCAACCATTGAAAACTATTTTGACACAAATTATCAATTGTCTCCAGCCGTCATTGGTTTTTACCATCCCTAGGACCTCAACCAGGTAGTCTACACCTCCTTAAACTGACTGTTGTGGATTTCATTGACTGATGAAGCCATGTTTTATTTTGATTACCACTGGTTCTTTTCTAACCTAATCCTACACAGGCTGATATTGCCTATTGTCGAGGAGGAGTGAAACGCAGTTGATATAAGTGGTATACAAACTACTCATCTCAGTCCATCAGTAGTATATAGTCTGAAGACAAAGAAGATCTTTATATTTTCATGTATCTACTCAAGTTATTGTGTCCTGCTTATTTCAGTAATGCGATACCCTTATCAGCTAAAAATATAAGCCAAATTTTTAAAAACTTGAATCATTATACCAACTGTTTTATCTTATCAGGGTGATTTAATTTAGTAAAGTGATATGACACATTTTCATTTTGTATTAAATTTGTGAAATATTGTTAATTGTCATCTACACATTGACGAAATGGATTTCTTTAAATTTCGCTGATAGTTTCCGCTGTCTATAAATGTGTATTGATTAGTCTAGTGGTTTAAGTGTCTGTTAGTCACAGTTTGTTGATTTCACCTGCATATCACTTTTACTTATTCTGTTATATGCATATTTCTTTGTTGTTATTGTTGCTATTAATGCATGTTAACTCTTCCTTACTTGTAGTAAACAAAAATGGATAAACAGAAATCGAGGAAAAAACGCAAAGCTTACTATCGAAAGTGTGCAGCAGCTTCCAAGAAATCACGTGTGAATGACCCAAATAATTCTCAGACTGTCGTACCGAGAAATCTGCAGCCCGGTATGACTGGTTATATAATGACATACAACCAACGTGAACGTTTAGCTCATATTGAAACTTATCGTTTATTGAATCATACATTAGATGAAATATCAGGCAAATGTGATATATCAAAACCTGAAAAAACCGGAGAAAATCAAAATCATGATCCAGTGGATAAAGATAGCACGGTAGTGGATTCTGAATCTACTAGTGTAGTTGCTGATGAAAAGGATGAGGATGTAGAGGATATATATGCTCAGTTGCTTCGTGAAAATTGTTCAACAAATCTGAATAGCTCCGGAAAGAAGTGTTCTTTTTATCCTGTAAAAACGCATATCAGTAATTGTTCTTTTATCCTGCATCGAACGGATATAGTTTGCCCTGCAGAACTTTGCCATCGTCTGTATCAAAGATTGCTGTCAACTAGCGATGCAGAATCGCGTCATGTTCTTCGCTTAATGCCTGTTGTAAATACTTGTCGCTCAGACCTTCCAGTACTGTATACTTGTCTACAGCAAGTGTGGTCGCAGTTCCTTGGTTTACCGTCAGATGAGCTGAATCCTAAAAATACGGATTCACCGGAGTCTGAAATTAAAATTCCTTTAGAGGAAACATGTGCTCAGAAAAGTTGTGTAACTTTCCATGTACCAAAGCAAACTGCAGGTGAGAGTACTTTGAAAGGACCAAAAACGTTCATGATTATTTTCAAAGCTCGTGGCTATAAGGCTATTACTCGTGACGATGCAATACATGCCACAATTAAAGCAATCAAGTCAGTGGATTCCTCATGGGAGATATGCAATTCATCACCTTCAGTTGTAATTTCGATAACTGTTCTTTGTAAAATAACGTGTATCAGTTTACTTGAGAATTTTTTCACATATCGCAAATATAATGTTGCAGAAATCTTCACACCGTCAACTGTTGTAGATAAGACTGAACAATCATAATATAATGCTCTGTGAAAGTCTTTTTGTTTGTCTTATTGAAATTGTTTTTCGCCTCAGGAAAGAGTTTTACGCCAGAAATGATCATCAGTAGGAGTAAGAACGAAAAAATGCACTTGTTTAGTAAATGGTCTCAAATATTATTACGTATTAAACTAGAATTTCTCTGGTTAGATTCATGATCTAAGTAATATATTACTATTACTGACATTTGATTGCGGCAGGTGTGTTCATAGATTTGGGTTTCAGATACGGTAGATGCGGATAAATTATCCGGGATGTGGTAGTTATACTGTAGTATATGCTAGAGGAACAGACTTGGCAAATGTATCATCAATTTTGCTCTAGGCAATGTAATGTAATGGTAATATAATCCCTTTTTTGACATGTGGATTT